GCAATTTTCTCTTCCAATTCTCATTTATTCAAAGAAAAGTTACAATTAAACTTTTGTTTCTCTCATCTAAAAAAGGAACAAGTGATACAAAAAAAAAAATATATTCTATACAACTCTTAATCATTCGAAGTTTAATTACGCAAAACTTTTCTTTCTCTTTTGTTCTACTCTTTTATAAAAAGAGCGCGTAATGAAACTTTTCTTTCTTAACATAGAATTAAACTTAGAGATAAAATTAAATTAGGAAAAAATCAACAATGAGCAAACAACTAACAGTTTAATCCGGGGCTATTTAGATATTAATGAAAATAATCAACATAAACAACATTATCAACAACAATATCACATGATTTTAGGGGCTTTTTATTTTTATTACTTAGTCGTTTTAAATAGTAAATTTAGTTCAAGTTAATATTTCAATATTTGCAGTTGCAATATAAAAAAAAAAGAAAATGATTAATGTTAAACATTTTATTTATTTATTTATTTTTATCTACATTTATGATAAAAAACTTTAGAACCCCCGTCATTAAAATAATTTGTTTTAAATATATTTCGACGTGATTATTCAAACTAATTTTTTTTTCGTTTGACTTCCCAAACTTCATGCGAATTCAGACGAAATATCGTCTAACCAAATAAAAATGCTGTTACTAATTTTATACTGGTAATTATTATAAAACAATTTTTCATCAGAATCTTGATTGAGATAATAAATACTTTATCAATTATTAACTTAAATATAGCGCAATAACAATTTATAACAACAAACAAGCATAAAATATTTGAGGTATACCTTTTTAAATTTTAAAATTAGAAATTAAATAACTAAACAAATAATGAAAAAATTTATGAATAAAAATAAAAATTTTTCTGAAATTTTATTTGTCTACCCTAACGTTAAATACTAAAACTTTTATGAATTATACGCGCTTAAAAGGAATCGCGGAAGAGTTTAGATTGCGATATATAATTTAAAGAGCTTCAGCTAAAACAACAACATTAGTTTTTCTTGGTATGCATTCATTATTTATTTTTAATCAAAAAACCTGGTTCAAACCATTTTTTTTAACATTATCTTTAATATAAGCACAACATGTGTTAAGAGTTTGGGATCCCTTTAACACAACCACTTGATATTGGGGTATTTAGAACAGTAAAATCTAAATGGCAAGAGGTGCCTACTTTTTACTTAAGGATCAGTACCTATATTAATAAAGAAAAGTTTTCTCAACTTAAGAAATATGTAGTTGAATATGGATTCATATCTGAAAATGCAAGAGCTGATTTTGAGAAATGTCGTTTGTTTCCATTAAATCGCAACAAAATAGCTGATTGTCATATTAATGTATTTTTAGTCATATTAAGTATTTAAGCCAGTAAATGAAAGTAATACAAATAATGCATTAACATCAGTATTAACTACAACACTGAGAACCTCAAACCCACTAGTGCAGCGTAATAATTTATATACTAGTTAAAATATTGCAAATCGCGAAATATGCTAGTTAAAATATTGCAAAGAGAAAAAAGCTCAGTCTAGAAAAAAACAAAAGGTACACAAGTTGAAGGTAATTGCCTAATTTCAAATGATTTTGTTGCTCAATTAATAGCTAGAAAAGATGAAGATAAAAAGAAAATAGATGAAATAGCTCAACAAGCAAATGAAAGAGCAACAAAACAAAAAGAAATTGTTGACAAGCCTTAAGAAGACACTGAAAAACGTAAACAAGCAGCTGAAAAATGTAAACAAGAAGCTGAAAAATAAAAACATGCTTCTGAAAAATGCAAAATGAAAATGAAAAACGCAAGCAAGCAACAAAGACAAGTAAGCATAAGGCAAAAAAAATAAAAATTAATGAAATAAATGAAATTGTTGAGTCCACTGTAGTCGCAAATACAAATGAAGCTATTGACGATAATCAAAATACTATTCTTTCATGGCAAACCTCACAAATTATTCAACCCACGGCTTGTGAATGTGGTAATATTCATCAGGAAGGCCCTTTCAATTTTCAATGGATGAATTGTAAAAGTAGATGTGGTCAATGGTTTTGTGGTACTTGTTTATTTTTATTAATGAGATATAGTTTCAATTTGAATTTATATGTTTTTTAATGCAAATGTAAGCAGTTATCTGTTGAATAAAAATCCGAAATTAAATGAATGGTTTTGTGCTAAAAAAAATAAAATTAATCATTAAATGTATGCGCGTGTATGTGATTATTTTTTTTATTATAAAAAAAACGTTTTATTTTTCGCAACTTTGATTTTTTTATACGTTTTTAATGGAATCCAAATTAACATGCACTGCATGATATTTCGAATTTTTTAGTAGTGTTTTTATAATTAAATTCATAAATAAAATATAGCACTTTTTTTTTTTTTAAAATGGTAAGTTTTTATGCAGCTTGTCGAGTTCTACAAGATTACGTAAAAATATTTTTAAATTTTTAAAGTTTAAACGCCCTAGTTTTCACTCAAAGATAAAAATGTCCGAAATATGCATAACTCACGTTACCAATTTTTATTTAAATAAAAATTGTCCTGATAACTTGTTAATCTAGAAATTCTTCAAGTGTTTCATTTATGTTCTGAAAACAGAGAGTTTTACTATTTAAAAAAAAAATCAAGAAAGGTTTTTTGGTTAATACAAAATCTTTTGTATTTGTATTCATACTTAACATTTAAAAGTATTAATTAGACTCTAATTAGAAATTAATTTTCTTGCTTTGAAATCACCTTTTTATATAACTTTTTATGCAATAACTCTAAGTTTTGATTTAAAAATCAAAACTTTATTATTATTATTATTTAGTCTAACGCATTTTCTTTTGTTTAGGGAACTGTATCTTTATGTATTTATATAGCACATTTTTTTTTAAATCATCAATTGATAACAGATAAATTTTTTTGTTTTTACAAGTGTAGATTTAGTAGAAAATCTTTTTAGATAAATAAGTTTTCTTAATTATTTATTATTATTTTGAAAATATTTTTACCACATTAAAAGATCAAATAACAAACTTGTTATTTCAACTGGTTACATATGTAACCACATAATTTTTTATTAGAGATTCATTAGAGATTTATTTTTTATTATAGATTCAGTTTATTAGAATTTTTTAAACTTATTAAATTTAAAACTAAATTTAGTTGTTGCTTTAATGATAAAATTTTTTTATTAAAAAAACTATTTAATTTTACGAGGAATTTTTTTTTAATACTTAAAAATCAGTGATCTTGGTTTTTTTTAAATAAATAATTTTAGGATCATGAATTCCCAGCTGACTGTTGGGATCTTAATTTAACCCTTAGTTCCTTTAATTTATTACAATCAATAAAAAATGACTGTGACAAAAAAAATATTTTGTTATTAATTTTGAAGCCGGCCTTTGCATTTTATTATGCAAAATATACTTAAAGTTTAATACTTAAAATCAGATAATTAAAAAAATTAATTTGTGATAAAATAAAGTAAATAAAAAATTATTTGCTAATTATTTAAAAAATATTGTTAAATAATTTTTTTTTTCAAACAGTCTTTATAAGATAAAACTTAAGGCCCATGTGGAATTCCTGCATAGCCTCTGGAGCCAGCATGGCACTGTTTATTCATTGTTATAATTTCTTATTTACTTATTTACTTTTATAATTTTTATTATTTGTTTGTATGTTTTTAAAACCTATGTAATAAAATTACAGTTGAAATAATATTCCAAAATTATATAAACAAGCATAATTGATACAAATTAATTTAAATAACACATGATTAGAAAATATTAAGAGCTGACCAACAATTGATATACAAAACTAAGTTGTTCAATATCCTTGATCCAATATCCTTGAAACTCCAACTAATCCAATATCCTTGAAACTCCAATATAAGTGAAATGGGTTATCAAAATTCTAAATATTCTTTGGAATTCCAGTATTGATAAGACAATTTATGTGCAGTTGTAGTAACAACTTTTAAAGTAATTACAGATTTTATGCTGCAGTTTCTAGTTCTTCGTTATGTTGCACAGATTTGCATATTTTTTCCATCTACTGTACATTTGAAAAAAGCTCAGCCCAAGTTGGTTAGCCACTTTTTTAATAAAAGGTTCATATAATTATCTAGTACACTAGGTATATATATATATATATATATATATATATATATATATATATATATATATATATATATATATATATATATATATATATATATATATATAAATATATATATCAAATTTATATACTTATATATAGTTATATATATTATTTATTACTTAAAATGCAAAAATTTTTGTAACTTTTCTAACTTAAAATAACCAGTAAAAATCTAAATAAAGACTTGATGAATAATAAGAATAAATTTAAAAAAATTGTAAACACTGAAAAAACTAAACTAGAGAATAATTGACATTGATAAAAAAATGTTTTTTTTCACGCAAAAAAAAAACGATCACCTTAATTCATTTCTTCATTAATTCATTATAGTTTAAGGCCTTTAATTTATTGCCAACCTTATGTATCTGAGGGCTGTTTGTATCTGATGGTAGTAAGTGATCCTGGCTTAAAATGAGGCTTTTTACAAACCCAGCCCAGGGGTTGATAGTCAGGGCTAGAAAAATTTATAATAGTTAATATATTATAATTTTATACTTACATTTACTATTTTTTAAATACTGACATAGTATTTATGTATTTTTAAACTCTAATTTACCTTAGCTCTGGCTTTATATTATCAAGTTTTAACCCCGTTTGCTTATTATCCTTGGGCTGTATTTATTTGAGGCCTGTATGTATTAGCACGTAATAGTTTTTAAGATAAATATAACTTCTATAATATTTTTTAATTTTTTATAATGTTAATTTATTTATTGATTTTATTTTTTGTGTTACAATTTTTAAACTGTTATTTAAATTTTATGCCGCTATCATGTCTTATCATGGTGTAAAGTTTATTATTGTATTAAACATTAACAACATTTAAACAATGATATATTTTCTAGATGTCAAAATTCTTAGCTGAAATGCAGTCTAAAAACTTAGTTGAGATTAAACAGCTTTCCAAAGGAATTGATTCTTTAATAAGTATTTCAACAGATAATGATATGTAAGTTTTAAAAGTTCTTGATATATTTGTACTTTATATAAAAATTATTCCAGCCAACAGTGTATTTATGTTAAAATCAAATTAAAATATTACCACTTTTTAGTGAAATAGTGTATTAAAAAAAAAATGACTAAAAAATATTTTAATAGACACTGTTTGCTATAAAAAGGTTGTTTAATTGAAATGGTTTAAAGTGACCAAAAAATTAAAAGCAACATTATTTGGTTGTTTATTAAATAAATAATGTTAACTAATGTGTTTATTACCAAATGTTTATTATTAGAACAAGTCAAGTTAGTTCATGTAGCCCTTAAAGTTATGTATTCCCTTTCTTTTAATTTTATTTTCTTAGCCTACCATTTTTTGACAAATCAAATATAACTATAAAAATCTTCAGGTAACAAAACTTTATTTTGGTTCGGATAATAGTTTTTGTAATGAAGTTTGAATATCTTAGTTTATTTGTGATACTTTGACTCGGTAATTTATTTATAATACTCGGTAATTACTTTGACTCAGTAAACAAAGTTATATAAGTATTGGTGCTTTCAGAAACTGAAAACAATATTTGTATGATATTGGTGAAAGTTTATGAATTTTATAAATTATAAAATTTCCACTTATTTTAATCATATTTTACACGGCTTTTCTGACGAAATCAGAAAAAAAAGTGAAAAATTTCTCAGACAAAGTTTTGACTTTTTAGCCCTTAAAATAATAAAATTAGTGTTTCTTTTATTATTTTTATTCAGGATAATACATTGATAGAATCAGTCAATAAGAAGCCACAATTATGCTACAATAAGAACAAGGAAATGAATTAGCACTTTAATAATTAAGGTTTCTCTTTTTTAAGGAGAAAAAGGTAGTAACTAACAGTAACAACAACTATGCATAAGTATGATCCTCCAAAGTAGCATAAGAAAGGAAGAGGTTAAGAAATATACTCTTAACCTGATTAAGCCTATTTAAATTGATTTAACTCTCTTAAATTGATATTATTTCTAAATAATAATAGATTAAAAAGCCTAATTTAATTATTCAGTTTTTGCATATTAATATATACAAAATTGTTTAATATGAAAAATATAATCATTGTAACTGCAACAACAACAAAAACTCGAATACATATGTCTGCAGAAATTCTGTAATTTTAACTTTGTATAGTTAAAATTACAGTATTTAGGATTGTATGTTAATGTAACTCATTAGATGTGTTACATTTACATACAATATGTAACACGGACAGATTTATATATATATACATATATATATATATATATATATATATATATATATATATATATATATATATATATATATATATATATATATATATGTATATATATATATATATATATATATATATATATATATATATATATATATATATATATATATATATATATATATATATATATATATATATATATTTATTTATTTATTTATTTATATATACAGCCCTTAGTTAGAAAAGTTAGAAAAAATGAAGTTGGCAATAATTTGCTGACCTTGATCTTTTAAAGGTCGGCATCAGAACAGCAAAAGTAATTTGATACATAGGTTTTACCAAAAAACATAAAATTAAGGTCAGCGATTTTTTGCCAACCTCAAACAATTCTAGGTTGGTATTACTGATATATGTGTGGATTCTAAACTTGTCTTCAATATATTTAGCTAACCCTCCCATACCCCTCACACAACACAATTGCACAGATGCCATGCAACGAGTGTTAAAGGATGCTGGTGTTATAAAACTAGGAAAAAAAGGGAGAAATCAGCACACACAGCAAAGAGGATGTAACTATTGTAGTAGAACTACGACACAAATAAAGACAAACACCAGAACTCTAATTTTTACACATTAGTAATTATTCCTTTCCAATACACCTATTAATTTTGTGTAGATCTGTGGTTTACATTTGCATGTACTTTATATTATATATGTATTTTTAAATATAATTTCAGAGGCGAAAGGGCCACTACAGTCGAAGAAGCTACTTTATTGTGGTGACAACTCTCTCTCAACTCTTTAAATTTCATAAATTTGATTGACAAACAAGTGAGCTGTAGGAGAAACAAGTTGAATGGGGCCATGGTGGGAATCAAACTGGGAACTTCTCACTTTTGAAGCAAGCATTACACCACCACTGCATTTTTGTGTTGAATTTACATAATATGTTATATAGTTATTGTGTTAAATTTACATAATAAAGTTATTACATAAAACTAAGGTAATGTTTTTTTTTTTTTTAAACAACTTCCATCAAGGTAGCAAGATAACAATTGACAGACGACTTAAAAGACTGCAAATTATATGAATCAGGAAAGCAAGATGAAGGAAGCAAATTTCAAAGAACTGATGGTTGAGAAAAAAAAACTAGATAAATAAGAGTTTTTGGAGCACTTAGGAACAGTCACAAAAAAAGGATGAGACTTAATTAAATGACGAGTAACACAAGAATGAGTTTTAATAAATGGCACAAAAGATGCTATCTCTTTAGAGCAGTGCACATTATAGTAATTGTAGAAAAGAGAAAGAGAAGCAACATTACAACACTGTGATAATGGTTGAAGGTTGGCTGCAAGAGCAGGTCCAACTATTTTTACAATGCGTTTTTGCACCTTTTCTAAAAGAGAAAGGGCATCATTAGAAGATTGGCCCCAGATATGGCAACAGTATTCCATACAAGGCTGGATTTGAGATTTATAGAGATAGAGAATAGAATTTAGAGTAAGAAAATGTCGAGCTTGATAAAAATATGTAACTTTAGCAGATTCTAATTTTTCAATGGATTTGATATATGGTTTCCAGAAAAGATCAGTAGTATGAGTTAGTCCTAGAAGATCAAGGGCAGACGACTCATTAAGTACATTACTGTTCATAAATAAAGGAAGGTCTAAATTATTGCAATAATGATAGGCTGAAAAAAAATTGAATTTTATCTGAATTAAAGTTCACCAGCCACTGTGAGCCCCATGCTGTAGCAGAAGTAAGATCCTTTTCAAGCTTAATTACCCTCTCCAAGGCCAAGGATTGAACCTTGAGGAACCCCTGAGGTTACAGAATAAGAAGAAGAGTCCTGCCAGTCAAGGACAACTTTTAATCTACGATTGGAAAAGAAGTATTCAATAATCTTAAAGACATTTCCAGCTAAACCGTAAGAAGAAAGTTTATGAAGAAGACCAGCATGCCAAACTTTATCAAACGCTTTAGAAATGTCAAGAGTGATGGCCTTTATCTCTCCACCTTTATCTAATGCATGATAAAACCTATCGGTTATTATTGTTAGCAAATCAGCTGTAGAATGTTAAAATCGAAATCCATATTGATGATCAGAAAATAAGTTATTAGATTCAAGATGAGAGATCAAGTGTTTGTTAATTAAAGATTCAAAAACCTTGGTTATGATAGGAAGAAGACTAATGGGACGGTAGTTAGACGAATCAGATTGCTCTCCAGAATTTTTAAAATTTTAGATAACAGATGCTGCTTTCCAGCAGGCTGGAAAACAAGACTCTTTTAAGCACTTGTTAAATTGTTTTGAAAGGATAGACAACAGTTCCGGAGAAATCTTCTGCAAGACTATAACAGGTATGTTGTTTGGGCCACAAGCTGTAGAAGAGTCCAAGCAGGAAATCACTTTAGATACAGAAGCTGGAGTGATACGAATGTCAAGCAATGGATAACCTGTTTGATAGCTATATCAGGTAGAACGCAACTAGTGGAATCAAGAGATGATATTGATGAAAAGTTCTAAGCAAACAATTCACCTTTGTCTTTAGGTGAGGTGACAAAGTCTGAACCATACAAAAGAGGTGGAATTACAGACTTGCCCTTATTATTGATACTATTAAAGATTCTCCAGAAGTCACGAGAGCCTAATTTTTATGATGAAATACGAGATTTCATGACCTTAGAATAGCGGGTTTTGGCATTAGACAAAACTTTTTTACAATGGTTCCTAGCAGTAATAAACAGATGTCTGTTTTCTGGAGAATTGTTTTGCTGATAGATATGAAAGTAATGGTTTCGATTGGCAATTGTAGCAGCACAATGTGAGGGAAACTATGGAGAAGAGTGAGGCTTGACCTGGAATCATTGAGAAGGAATAAAGGATTCCATGCCAGCCTGAATCCACGAAGTTATGTAATAAGCACATTTGTCAACAGGAAGACGAAAGATTTCTACCCAAGCGCCATCACTGAGAAAATCACGAAAAGAATCCCAGTCAGCTTTAATTTCGTTGTAAGATGTACGATGGTAGGAGGATTATGATGATATAGAAGAATGAGATAATAGTTTTAGAGAAATCAAAATGTGATCAGAGGCACCTAAGAGTGAATGTGGAGAAACTGAGCACTGACTAGGATCAGAAACTAGACATCGAAAACAAGACAGTCGAGTAGAAAAGTTAAATTATTCGAGTTGTCTGGAAAGCGAGTTGGAAAGTTGACTATTTGACTTAGGGATTGAGAAAGGCAAAAGTTGTGGGCTGTAATGCCTACAGAGTCACTGACACTAAGCTGATGTATAAAGAGAGAGGGCTTGGTCAATATGATTAAAAATAACATCAAGAGGAGTGGAGTCTTAAGATGAAGGAGAGCGATATAGAACAAAGAGGAAGGTGATAGAGTGAAGTGGTGCTAAAAGAAAGCACATAAAAGAGTAGTCTAGATTCAAACCTAGTTTGCGGTAGTGGTGTAGTGGTAGAGCACTCGCTTCATAAGCCAGAGGTTCCGAGTTCAATCCCCACCACCTTCCTGTTAGTACCGTGCTCAACTCATTTCTCTGCACAGCGGCCTTGTTCGTCAAGTTTCGTGTTTTGGAGTTATAGAGTTGAGAGAGGGTTATATAACAACAAATAAGTAACCTCCTCGTCTATAGTGGCCTTCTCGGCTTTAAGGAGGTGAATTAACAAAAAAAAAGGGTGAATTCTTACGAATGTAAATGCCCAGGCCAACCATGTGACTATTGGAGTCAAGATAAGACAGCTGAACTCAAATTAGTATCACAAAGAGCAAGTAGGTCTGGTGAACTTTGCAAGAGATAAAACTGAACAGAAGAAAAGTTATTTTGAAGACCATGAATATCAGTTAATGATAGGTTTAGTGAACTTGATGATGACAGTGTTTTTATATGTTTTATAGTTTTTGTTACTTTATTCATTTTTGAATTTGTTAAAGAACTTAATTCCAAACATAGGTTGTACTCAGTACTTTGTTTAATAGCCCATCCTATTGCCTCATTACTATTAATGAACCCTAAGCTGTAACAAAGGGCTCCAATGTGGCCTTGGCAGTGCATACCAAAAGTACAAATAGGGACACCATCCATGCGCAACATGGCACAGTTATTACTTAGATATTTTTCAGTTGTTGATGGAATCAGTCTCTTTGAGAGCTACCACAGAATTCGGGAAACCTGTCTACCAGCAGGTCTCAGAACCATTAAACTGAGTTTTAGAGCTGTTCCCTCATTAGGAGATAGTAGAATGAGTTGTCAAGTCATAAATGCAGAGACGCAAGCAAAATTCATGCATCAAGTCAAGAAGATCCAGCATTCAACATCCTAAACTGGAAACAATGTATTAAAAATACATCTGCGCCAGCCTAATGGATGGAGAAGGGGTGCAAGGCAAAATCTGTTTACACCTTCAACAGACAAAATCTGTTTACACCTAAAGTCTTTGCCTAGGAGGCCTTCTACAAGACAGCAGCCGGATGCATTTAACATCTGCCCAAAATGAGTATTTTTATCTAGCCTTTAGTCAACCAAGAGCCCCAAGGCAGGGAGTGTTTTATGTCGGAGTTGGCATTTCCTAGTCTTTGCCTACAAAATGTAGTTTTTAGATCTACCACAATTAAAACCCGGTGGTGCAAACAGTTAGCATTTTACACATTAATCTGCTAGGTCAAACCCACATACAACATATCATAATCAAACTTTTTACTTATGTCATTAAAATACTTTGATTATATCAAAAATGTATGTATTATAAAAACTTCCTCATCTGTGTTTTGATATCTCGTGTCCCCATTTAAATTTGCTTTAGCCTTATGGATACAATCTCTATATTTTTAAAAGTTTTAAATAAACTGCTAAAACATATTTTGTATTTGAAATTTTTTTAATAGTTACAAAATGTCACAATGCATCAATAGTTTTATATACTAATTCACTTTTATCATCTTTAATAATCTAAACTTGTACTCCTTTATATTTTGATTTTGTTGTTGTATTATTTTCTAAATTTTATTCCTGATTTGATGCTAGGAAATGCAAAGTATTTGCAAAAAAGTAATTGCAAGTCTTTACATTATTAATTGTATTGTTATTGTTTATATATGTAAACTTTAATAAAGTTTTTATTTTTTTTTAAAAGATTCTCAACATATTTAATGAAAATACAATCAATGATTTTATAGAATGCGCACATTTAAATGCTCAGAATTTGCTAAAGAAATGAAGAAAAAAAATACATTAAAACTAGAGGAAGAAAAACTGGTTAAAAAAAAAAATGCACAAACTGTTGAAGTTAGGGAACTATATGCTGTTTCAGCTAAAGTTGCACCTTTTTTCAAAATTTTTAATATCAGGTATCAAGTTTTATTTTTTAATAAAAAAATAAAATATATGACATAATTTAAAGAAAATATGTTATTTATTTTATTTTGATAAAATTATAATTATTTGTTTTTGAGACTATTTTGTAAAATGTTAATGTATTTATATATATATATATATATATATATATATATATATATATATATATATATATATATATATATATATATATATATATATATATATATATATATATATATATATATATATTTATATATCCTTATATCGTAGTCGAAAGAGACTGCTAAAAAAAAATCTCTTTTAACTGCAATTTTTATTACCTCGACTCTTAAGCTGTATTTTATTGTCGTCAAAATGTCAAAGCAATTAAATTAATGCGGAAGTACATTAAATTTTATTGTTTTTAAAAAAAACCGCAATAATAATGGCTAGAAAGTTTTTTAAATGGTGTTTTTGTTGTTGTTTTTTTAAAACATATTTTTAAAACATGCGCAGAGCATTGCTACATTGACTATCATGTAGCCTGCTGCTACAAGGGAGTGTTGCTACATCGACTATCTTATAGCCTGACTCGCAACAGAGTGTTGCTATATCGACTACTTATAGCCTGACTTACAACAGAGTGCTGCTATATCAACTAACAAATAGCCTGACTTGCAAGGGAGTGCTGTTACATTGACCGACAAATAGCCTGACTTACAAGGGTGTGTTGCTACATCGACTGAGGGTATATTTATATATATATATATATATATAAATATAAATCAAGGCTGTGGAGTCGGAGTTGCAGAGTTGCGACATTTTGAGCAGAGTCGAAGTCGCTAAACAAAATCGCGACTCTGACTCCAATAGTAAAACTTCTCAGTATTGCACTTAGATGTACAAAACGTTCAATTAACCTTATGTTTATACTAAAATTGTTAACTTATCGTGTAATACTTTTAAAAGAGTTTTGCTTTAGAGTTGTAGTCGGAGTTATACATATATATATATATATATATATATATATATATATATATATATATATATATATATATATATATATATATATATATATATATATATATATATATATATATATATATATATATATATATATGTATATATATGTATATATATATATATATATATATATATATATATATATATATATATATATATATATATATATATATATATATGTATATACATATATACATATATATATGTATATATGTATATATATATGTATATATATATGTTTATATATATGTTTATATATATATATATTTATATATGTATATATATATATGTACAACCCTCGGAATTAGAAAAATTGAGGTCAGTAATAATTTGCCGACCTCAATATTTTAGAGATTGGCATCAGGTCAGCAAATGTAAAGTCTTACCATAAAACATCTAAACGAGGTCGGCAAAACCAATTTTTTTTTACCGACCGCAAGCACAGTTAGGTCGGCATTGCTGAATGCCGACCTTAATTCAGAGGGTTGTCTATATATATATATATATATATACATATATATATATATATATATATATATATATATATATATATATATATATATATATATATATATATATATATGATTCCACTTAGTTGCATTCAACCTGATATAGCCTTCCAACAGGTTGATCCATTGCTCGACATCTGTATCACTCCAGCTTCTGTATCTAAAGTGATTTCCTGCTTAGACTCTTCTACAGCTTGTGGCCTAACGGGTCACAACTAAAATTTTTCCCAACTTTTAAAACAAGATATCTCAGTCATTTTACAATTTTTTTTAAAACGGTTTTTTGCATTTTATAAACAACAATTTTAAGTGTTAGAAAAAATGTCTTTTAAAGTTTTTCGATTCCATTCCTTCTGACAAAATCGAGTCTTTTGTGTACCGAGCTGAAGGTGCGGTGTATAAGGTCTTTATCCAAATTACAAAGGCAAAGACTGACTCTAGCTTTGAGTTGAGTGATAGTTTTAGCCTGCCAGTCCTTCTCATACACTTTCTGCTTCAAAAATCCTCAATTGGCCTGACTTTCGGGACATTTGCTGGGTTGTCTTGTTTTTGTACAAAATTGACTTTTTTGTCTCTGAGGTCGGCGTGGACTGAGTTTGCATAGTGGGAGCTAGCTAAATCGGGCCAGAATACGTATTTACCATCCCTATAGTATTTGTTAATAAAAGGAATCAACCTCTTTCGTATACACTCGTCACAGTAAATATATTGATTGATTGCCAGGCCAGACTTGAAAAATTTGACACTACTCATTCCTCGAGGTGAAACTGCCACCCAAACAAGTAGTTTTGACTCGTATTTTGCCTTCATTTTGTTTTTCACATCAGTAGGAGTCTTTTGAATATCATCTGAGTAAAATCGGTCATTCCCAGCCAAAGTTGTGTTGGAAAGAGTGAAGTACGATTCATCATCCAAAATAAAATCGACATCACGAAATTTGAGGAAAAGTTGTCCACACTTTGGCCTTGCTAACTTGACTTGTAAGGCTGTCATCTTTGGTTTGACGGTGCGTTTTAGACATCTGATATTTGTTCTTTGCAATAGCATCTTTGAAACGTATTGCTGAGTTGTTTTTAGCTTGCTAGCTACTCTTTCCTGTGAGCAGCCCTTCCGATGATTGAAAAAAATTTTCATCTTACGTACGTTGTTTGCAGTCGCTATAGTGGTCGGAGGACTGCTTCCTTTTTTCCTAGTTAGTACTTTATTTTGTTCCAGCATGCTAAGCCAATGATTTAAAGTCCTTTTTGGAGCTCCCATGCTGATAAATTTATCAAAAATATGTTTTCGCCCCAGTCCATGGTTTTTTTGATAGTATTTATACAAAATGGATTTTAGATCTTCATACATTATAGCGTGATATTTTTTGAACTACAAATCATACGAACTATTTAAAAATATATTTGAATAGAGAATGCTTTTGAGTATATTCTGTTAAAACTTTAAAAATATACACAAAGCAGATCTTTATTGACATTATCCCAAAGTTTGGGCAAAATTTTAGTTGTGACCCGTTAGACAACATACCTGTTATAGCCTTGCAGAAGTATTCACCTGAGCTATCGTCTATCTATTCAAAACTATTTAACAAGTGCTTATCAGAGTCTTGTTTTCTAGCCTGCTGGAAAGCAGTATCTATTATCCCTATTTTTAAAAATTCTGGAGAGCGATCCGATTCGTCTAACTATCGCCCCATTAGCCTTCTTCTTATCATAAGCAAGATTTTTGAATCTTTAATTAACAAACACTTAATCTCTCATCTCGAATCTCATAACCTACTTTCTGATCATTAATATGGATTTCGATCTTCTCGTTCTACGGCTGATTTGCTATCAGTAATAAGCGATAGGTTTTATTGTTAAGGCCATTGCTCTAGACATTTCTAAAGTGTTTGATAAAGTTTGGCATGCTGGTCTTCTCCATGAGCTTTCTTTTTATGGTGTATCTGGAAACATCTTTAAGATTATTGAATCCTTCCTTTCCAATCGTAGAATAAAAGTTGTCTTTGATGGACAGCACTCTTCTACTTATTCTGTAATTTCAGGGGTTCCCCAAGGTTCAATCCTTAGCCTCATACTCTTTTTAATTTACATTACATTAACGATCTTCCAGATATTCTCACATCTAAGGTGGCATTGTTTGCTGATGATACTACCATATATTCTTGTCACGATAAGAAGCCAACTCCCTCTGATTGCTTGCAGGGGGCATTTGAGCTCGAAAAGGATCTCACTTCTGCTACAGCATGGGGCTCAGTGGCTGGTGAAATTTAATTCAGATAAAACTCAATTTTTTTTAGCCAATTGTTATCGCAATAATTTAGACCTACTTATATTTATGAACGGTAATGTACTCCATGAGTCTCCTACCCTTCATCTTCTAGGATTAACTCTTACTTCTGATCTTTCTTGGAAACCTTATATCAAATCCGTAGCAAAATTATCATCTGCTAAAGTTGCTTCTCTTTATCGAGCTCGTCACTTTCTTACTCTGGATTCTATTCTCTATCTCTATAAATCTCAAATCCGGCCTTGTATGGAATACTGTTGCCATATCTGGGGCGGATCTTCTAATAATGCCCTTTCTCTTTTAGACAAGGTGCAAAAAGGCATTGTAAACATAGTTGGACCTGCTCTTGCAGCCAACCTTTAACCTCTGTCACATCGTCATAATGTTGCTTCTCTTTCTCTTTTCTACAAATACTATAATGGGCACTGCTCTTAAGAGCTAGCGTCTCTTGTACCATCTACTAAAATTCGTTCTTGTGTTACTCGTCATTCTATTAAGCCTCATCCTTTTTCTGTTACTGTTCCTAAGTGCTCCAAAAACTCTTATTCGTCTAGTTTTTTTCCTCGAACATTAGTTCTTTGGAATTCGCTTCCTTTATCTTGCTTTTCTGATTCACATAGTTTGCAATCTTTTAAGTCGTCTGTCAATCGTTTTCTTGCTCTACAATCTTCATCTTTTCTCTTCTAGTAACTTTCAACACTAATTAGTGGTTGCTTGCTGCCTTGTTGGAAGCGAAGATGTTTAAAAGACAAAAAAACAAAAATATTTATATATATATATATATATATATATATATATATATATATATATATATATATATATATATATATATATATATATATATATATATATGTATATGTGTATATGATTTAAAGGGATCCCAAACTCCCAAAACATGTTGTGTTTATTTTAAAGATAATGTTAAAAAGAAAGGTTTGAACCAAGTTTTTTTGATTAAAAATAAATAATGAATGCATACCGAGAAAAACTAATGTTGTTGTTTTAGCCGAAGCTTGCCTTTTCCATTTTTTTAATAACTTGGAGTCTTTAAATTTTATGTCGCAATCTACAGACTTTGGTGATTCCTTCGAAGCGCGTTTAATTCATAAAAGTTTTGGCATTTGACGTCAAGGTAGATTTTTAACAAAAGAAAAGTGTAATTAAACAAAGCTGCGTTTTTCTATTTTAGTCCAAAAAAAAAATTTTTAACATAC